CTTCACAATAATTAAACAACGCTCAGGTGGCTTGGCCATGTATGCCAAATGGAGGATACCAGAATACCTAAAATTATCTTATATAGTGAGTTAACACAATGTTCTTTGCCATTATAGTCTCTGAGACCGACGGTGCCAATAATGATGATGATTACAATATATTAAATATATAATTTTCATACTGTGTTAATTATATTTTTTTTAAATGCCTACAGTGAGAACACGTCGACGGTAAAGCGTATGCGCAGTTTCATGAGCGAGCCCGTCAACAGATTCTACACTTTTTTGCCTTTTTGGTGCTTCGCTTTATAGTCCACCAGAAATACGGATTTGAAACACAAAAGTTAGACATAGTTGCAACAAATTGTTTTTCAATGAATATAGTTAAATTGTACCTGTACAACATACCAACAGTTTACCAAAATACAGCTTCGGGAAATGTGTTTTTTATAGCAAAGAAAACTGAAGTATTTTACTAGGCTGTTACGCTCTGCCTACGATATGTGCACACAAGGTAGCATTATTTGCCCCTTACTTTTCCTTTGTTCTGTAAATGACATGGTTATTTGTACTGATTCTAAATTCAAACTTCTGTTATACGCTGATGATTGTGCATTAGTTCTCTCGCAAGAGGATCCAAATAATGTTTCCAATACAATTGGAAACGCTTTGGATTCTTTTTATGTGAATGGCTTGCGTGTAATAAACGCAGATTACCTTAACAAGATTGAATACATTATCTTTGGTACAAAACTGAAGGAAAAAAAATGTTCACGATTTAAGAATTAAAAGAAATGGATATGATATTAATTGTAAAAATTCTATTAGTTATTTAGGAATTATAATGGACCAATGTTAAAATGGAACGGAATGTTCAACTTTCTTTATCAAGAAAATAAACAATAGACTATAAGATTCTTATATCGACATAATAAGGTTCTCCACACAAAATGTCGCAACATTTTATGTTCAGTCTATATTCAAATGCATATGATTACTCCTCCTGGTTTTTGGTATTAATAAGACGATACGTTACAAACATCACAAAACAATGTAGTAATGGATAACTGATAATTTTGGTATATTTAATGATAATGATATTCTTAATTTCAATCGGCTGGTTTTTCTTTAGTTTCTTTATCTAAGAGTGTATTTTTATTGTGCCTGTTTGTGTTTTATTTATTAATCTGAATATTTTGTATTATCCAATCTGTTATACTATTGCAATAAAATGAGTTATGAGTTAAATGTGTAGGTTTAACTTGCAATTAGGTCCTAATGCTCATTTAGCACCTACCAACTTTATGAAATTGGTATCTTAAAGGTTGAGAATAAAGTCGAATTCCTTCGTCTTAGTGTATTTAAAGTAGTTCATGGCCAAAGTGTTACATATATCTTGTCAGTTTTCAACTGCTAACAAATATCCATAACAGAGCACATATTAGCCTCCTTCATGCAACTTATATTTTTGCATTATATGTATAAATTTTGTTTATGTTGTATGGAAAATAAATTGATATTTGAACTTTGAACTACAACTAATTACAGCACATAATCTTGTCAGTAGGGAGCTTTCGATTACACTACGGCGGTAGGACGTAGAACGTAATGACGTCAGTAAAGTCATCTGCGCATGCAAGAACGTTAAAGTCACCTTGTCGAGAAGATTCTGGAACGCAATTTGGCCAAATCCACGTACCTATGCGGAGAACGTAGGACGCTCCCTAATACAATGTTTGTAGTACCCAAAGTCCAAGGAATTGACTCCTTTCCTTTCTTTATAATTGTATTAAAGAATGGAATAGGCCTACTATAAAAAAAAAATAGCAATCTAAATTGCTTTAAACGGTCTCTTAAGCAGGGTACTCACTGCTATTAACGGCCGTTGGCCGAAATAATTCTTTGGAGAACGCAAGGCGACGACGCGCGCGCAATGCATCGTTTTAATGGTGATCCGTCCGATCACCGACATTTAGCAGACGACGTTGCGTGATCAAGCGCGCACAAGCCGCACAAGCAGCGGAGTATGATTCGTCGTGCGACAGTCGTACGACAGTGAATGCCCGGCTTTAAAACATCATGAAGCGAGAACCGGTGGTTGTCTAATGTAATAATGATGACGATGATGATACCATGGAGGTATACCTCCATGATGATACTAATCATTATTATTACTATTATTTTATTATGTTTTACTTCTTTTCCTCTTTCATTTTTTGTGTCATATAAAGTATATTTTTCTGTAAATAAAAAAAATAACACCTTTTTAGGGACCAAATTAGAAATTATGTTATTTTTATGAACTTATGCGTTATTACTGGAATCAGGTTTATATTTTCTTCTGTATGTAATTGTTGATTTTCCTGCTTTATGCTGTGTCAAATTGCATGTATTTTTAGAATTATTTATGTTTTTATGAAATAGTTTTTACTGCTTAGAGAGATGCCGAATGCATAAACAAGCAAAAATGACATAGACTCAAGAGCTTGATTTCAAAATACTTGGCGGTCTTTTACAAGGCTGACATTTCTGCGCCATTTATAGGTAGTCAGTTATTCTTTGTGAAGCACAATAAAGAGTAATCAGGATTATGTTCAGTTTGTCAATCAATTTAATGGACTTCACAAGTCTGCATGTATATCATCCTATAAGTTTCCGTCGTTTAGTGTATGACAATCGCTCTGAGGTTCCAGGTTCAAATCCCGCCAGAGACTTTTTCGTTGAAGGGCTATGTTTGATAAGATCATCATCTTGTTTGAGCACTGCTATTATTATTTTTCATTTTCATATTGTGTTCACAGTTCTACGCAAACAATTTGAATATTATTTACTATGCTTTTCAAGCTGCAACCTATCAGATTTTTTAGCTTATCTGTAGTTCCACTATTTTTGAACATCTCAGTCTGTTGTAAGGGAGAAAGTCCACGGGGATTAAATCTGCACGTATATTTCTATTTTAGGTCTCCTTGGTCTAATTGATAAGACACTTGCCCTGACTGCGACAGGTTACAGGTTCTAAAAGGAACTTTTCGTTGAAGGGCTATTCTTTATACGATGATATCCTCTTGTTCCTATTCCAGCACTCGCATACTAATTTATCCATTTCTTTATATTGTGTTTAACGTGCTACGCAGCAAACCTTTGAACCTTTGAATATTATTTACTATATTATTTCATATATATATAT